CACACGTGAAAATAACATGTTATTTTCACGTGTGAAGATATCAATTTTTCGAAATAGAGAAAAATAGATATTTCATTGGTAATTATATAATAATCTCAATTATCACACAATTAAAAAAGCGCCAGTTATTCTAGGCTTTGGTTGGTAGCAAACAAAGTCGGCTTGAATAGCGTGACCAACCCCAAACACTGTAGTATTTGACTATATTATCAGACAACGAGCTGTTGAAAAGCGTGGTTCTGCTATATAACCAAACGGAAATACAAAAGGCATCCCTTGGTTTACGAAAATTTACGCGTAAACAACACTTATTTATGGTAGAAAGATTCCTAGAGCGAATAGATTGGGTAATGTGCCCGAGAAGTGTGTCAAAATAAGGTATACAATGTGCATGATACTGTGCGGAGAAAAACATGTTTCAGAACGGTTAACTTCATCTTAGCCCTGAAAGAATTCTTGGTCAATTAACGCGCATTTTTGAAGCCAGCAAATTCCCGTTTAATCTCAGAACAGCAATCTCTGAATGCTTCTCCAGTGTGTTCGTTTGCTTCATTGACTGTAAAGCTTAGCTGTTTATGAATACTGCATTCTGCTAAACCTAACGCCGTCTTACCTGCCGAAGAAAAACTAGCCAAGATAAGAAGACCAAAGATCGGCAACCAAACGCTTGCCACCATGATGAACTGGCCAGTCGGGTAGAAGAGTATCGCGCTCAAGTCGAATCAAGACTCGCTGTCTGAGAATCTCAAAACAGGGTCAGTCTACCGTTCGATTGCTTACGGACTTACGAGGTCACCTTCAAGTGGACAATTATAATAATAATGATATGTAGATTAGCTTCATAATTAACTTACTCAAGCAGGGATAAATAATCCTTTATGCTTTTGAAAACGGCGTCGGGGATTGCTATTGTGCGGAAAGTCGTAACATGTGCGAGTGAATTTTGAGCCTGAATAAACCTTTGGACCTCAATACCATTTAAGTGTTTCCCGGACCAGCCAGGAAACTTCACTTGAATGATATGCCTAGTCCGGGGACCGAACCCTATGGCTAAACTTGGCTAAACCATAGTTAATAGATATCTATGGCTAAACCTGATTTTCGCGCTGAAAATGGCTTGAAGCTAAGAAATATGAAAGACAACCCTGGAGAATATATTAATTGTTTTATGTTCTTTATCGTGTTTTATTTGATGTGCGCGAGTAGATATTCATGTTTAGAGCGAAAAGAAGTGAATGCTGTACAAAGTTTGACCAAGTCCACGGTCAGGCGCTCAAACTCGTATCCAGAGCATGCGCAGTAAGTATAAAGGTTCTGGGTACGTTGGGTTCAATTGAACATGTAATATAAGCTGAGACCATGTAATGAGATTCACAGTATGAATCATGTGTTAAAAGCCAGCGGGCCATGTTATTGGGGAATGAACGATGACGATTTTTTTCGATATTTTTAGTCTTTTGAATCCTTCATAGAGTTACTAATATTTTTTTAGTTTTAGTTTTAGTTTCTTCTACAAGGCTGTATGTTTTCTTGCGAATTTCTTTGCATTTTCACTTGCGGTTATTGTCATAAAAATTTGTCAGGAAAAATCTTGTAAAGTGTGAGCCTGGGCAAGATTTCCCGTCAAAAACTTCCTGCCAAGGAAAGGCAGTAAAAATATGAAAATGTCTGCTAACCATTTGCCTGAGGATCAAACATTCCTTAGATCACCAAGTTAAAATTTCCATTCATAGTTTAAGAAAAATTCTTTAACATAAATAGAGCATTTCCTCAATCAATCACGGCGGATTAGTTATCGTATTCCGAGAAATTCCGAAGTGTCTTCGTTGACCTTTCGGTTTACATCGGTTCGGCTGTGTCCGTGCCCGTTCGACCTCCACCGAATGCCGACCTTTGCCGACATGTACTGCAAACACGCAGTCGGACCGGTCGCTCTGTAAACTCATCGGAACTGTTCTTATTTATACTGAGAAAGCTCTTCTAATATTTTCATATAGTACGAGGAATAAGCCCTGAAAGAGTCCTTAACAACTTATACATATTTCCTTAATTCGCGAGCTAGAATAATTTTTTTAATTTCGATAATAAGCTTGGTTCAGAACGTACTGTATCCCTTCGTGCTTGGTACCCAACAGTAAACAAACTCCGTCTAGTAAATAAGATCAATCTCAATTTAAATCGTTGAAAAGACGAGCTTTCTCCTTCGTGGCTGTAATTCTTTTATGAAAACACCACTATCGTCCTATGTGGAAGACTTCTTGTTGAGGGAAAAATCTAACTTGAAACGTCTCTAAACTGGCCGGGCATGTTATATAAGGTACGTATTTATGCATGTATTTAATTAGTAAGTAAGGAGTCGCATGTAATCAATTGTAGCTAATGGTTTTATACTTATATTGAAAATTATAACTATCCAACATATCATAAAGATTAAGATCTATTTGAATGCCGGTAAAGATGGCTAATCATTTCGTAAGAAAAACTTTACTGATTACCGGTAATCTTTACTGTGATTACCATTAAGTAGTTCTCTCAGTAGCCGACTGTAAAAACATTAAATGGCAAAGATAGAAAATTTTCGCTTGTTGCCCCCAAAGAATAAACAAATAAGTAAAAGCCTAGGAAGAGAGAAAAAAAATTCTTGCTGATTTAATAATCCAAAGATTAAGTTATCCCGTTGCTGTCTATATTATTTATTTGCCATAATAATTTTCTTTCTATAATCTTAGTTTGCCTTCTTCAATAATTTATTTGAAGTTTTCCCCCCTCTAGTTATAAATAGTCCTTTTCCGCCGATATCGAGTCATATAATTACTGGCTAATATGCCGCCGTTCGAGTTCGGGCTTTTTTCTCACTTTGAGGAAATTAATAATCGACTTTGTTTACTTTATTAATTTGACGTTCTCGGCTTTTTACGTCTTTTTTGATCGAAAACTCCTTTGAATCAATAAGATCGCTAAAAGTTATTAATCTAGAGCAAGTTGTCGTTATTTACTGAATATTTTTGTATAAGAATCGATCCCCCCAAAAGTTCTGCGTTTTATTGGTAGTAAGACTTAAAGATCTGACAACGTCAACAATGAAACAGTTTTTTTTAGAACAAACTGATTTGAAGAGGAAGTGAGATTAAAAGAAAGCAGAATGAATAAAATTTGGGCTTCAACGCTAACAGGAAGTGAATATCGCGATCAAAGACGAAGTGTCTGACACGTGGTGAAGAAAGCGGAATGAAAGAATAAGCGAACGAAACAAGACCCGTACTTTAAGTGGGAGTTATTTACTTTTTGTTATTTCAAGCCCACAAGCTTGGTAATTCCCTCTTTTCATCTTCCGGTTTCCTTTTATCACAGTTTAAATTGAAAAAAAGTCAAACATTTAATGTCCACAGTATTTAGTCTTGTTATGACGACTTTTTTTAATTTCCATTCATTTATTTGAATAGGATTTTGAAGTTAACAAGGAACATGTAGATTATTTATGAGTTAGAATGATTTACATTTTAATTTATCATTGTTTGGTCGTCTTTCTCGTAGATTAACTGTCCTCCAGCTTGTCAAAAAACCTTGATTATGTTATCTTATTCGATTTTGGACTTCCCGTTACGTCATGGCTAGAATATCTATGCTTGAATGTCGGTATTTGGAGCAGTCGTAAGTAGAAGTTCAGAAGGCCAATGATCCCCTGCGATGATGATGTTTTTCAATCTCAAGACACCGTTATTTTTTCTCTCTTTGAGCTCGTACGAACTATTAGGATTTTCTTTGGTTATTTCTACCTTGATGAGCAATGCTATCGGAGTGGTTGGGTTAACTGAAGGCGCTCCTGTACCTGAATATACTACTCTAAATCCATCCATGTCAAATACACGCGGCAAAGAGATCATTTTCCCGCCAAACAAGCTTGCTGACATCACACTTGGCGGGCTTTTTCCCGTCCACCAGAAACTCAATACCATATTCGGTCAGTCATGCGGTGAACTGGATAGCGAGAGAGGGATACATCGATTAGAAGCGATGCTGTATGCAGTAGCTCAAGTCAACGAGAACACGACCTTGTTACCTAACATAACACTTGGAGCTAACATCCATGATACGTGTGGCCAAGACACCATTGCATTAGAAGAATCCCTGGAATTTGTAACGGAAAAGCTTATGAGGCGCAACCCAATCAAGTGCCAAAGCCCCGAGGGTGCCAACAGAAACCAATCCAAGATCGTGGCGGGGGTCATAGGGGCAGCTTCAAGCACTGTCTCTATCCAAGTAGCTAATCTTTTAAGGTTATTCAAGATGCCGCAGATCAGCTACGCATCGACTAGTCCTGACCTGAGTAATAAATATAAATATGATTATTTTGTAAGGACTGTTCCTCCTGATACGCTCCAGGCGCGCGCTATGGTCGACATCATCGTTGCACTCAACTGGACTTCCGTTTTCACAGTTCATTCGCATGGTAACTACGCCGAAAGAGGCATAGAAAAATTCCTTACTCTTGCCAAAGCTGCTAATATTTGTACAGTCTCGTCCGGCCGGCTAAGTGAGAGTCCAACAACGGATGAATTTGATGTCATTATACAAAAGTTTATTCAAGAGCGAAACACTCGTGGAGTTGTGCTTTTTTGCAACGACAACGATATACGGCAACTTCTTGAGGCAAGCGCTCGTGCAAAGGCTGTTGGGCGATTTGTTTGGATTGGTAGTGAGTTCTGGGGGACGAGGCGACACCCGGTCGAGGACATCGAAGACAAAGCAAATGGCGCAATTACGGTGAGACTTAAATCCGTTCAAGACGTAGGTTTCCGGGAATACTTCACGAACCTTACGCCAGAGAAACATTCAAAAGTTAATCCATGGTTTAATGAATTTTGGGGGCAGCATTTCAACTGCACTATCAGCTCCAACTCCTCTACTTGTCCCAAGAATGCAACATTAGAAAAGGACATGTACCTTGACGATAAGGTTCCATTTGTCATCGATGCGGTCAATGCCTTTGCAAACGCATTCCATAGGCTATATGTCGATCTTTGCCCTTCGATGACAGGACTTTGTCCAGCAATGAAACTATCCCAAATGGGCCCAATCTTGCTTGAGGCTCTGAGGAACACCTCGTTTGAAGGCGCAAGTGGTAGGGTACGATTTGACGTTCATGGAGACTCTTCAGGTCGTTATGACATCTTTAGATTTATCAGAGGTGATTACATCAAGGTCGCGTCATGGGACGACAAGCTCGTTGATGTCTCCTCCCTGTTATACAAGAAAGATGAGAGTGCAAGTACCATAGAGTCTTACTGCTCTGTTCCATGTGGGATTGGATACTACAGGGAGTTAAAAACAGATAAGTCGTGCTGCTGGTCTTGTAAGCCATGCGGAGAGGATGAGTATGTTCAAGGTTAGTTTTCCAGATTTTATAGATTCTTTAACGTAATTGTAATCGCTATCACTGTACGGAAACTACTATACGACGTGCGCGCGACCCTACCATTCCAAAACGAGATACATCTCATGAAACCCAAGACATTTTTCCTTGTTCAGAAAATATTTTTTAAAGAAAAAGCTACTATGTTCTATCTATTTTTGCCCTTCAAAAATAACTCGCCATATTAGAATTGGAGATTTGTAATTGTTTTGTATTTTTTTCCTGCAGACTATACAAGATGTACTTCTTGTCCAATTGGTGAGACATCCACTCTCAATCGCACCACATGCCGAATGCTGGATCTTCGCTACATCTCTTCTAATTGGACAATTATGGTCACATGTATAGCTGGTATAGGAATAGTCTGTACTTGCTTGGTGGCGGTAGTGTTCGTACGCTTCAGCGACACACCACTCGTCAAGGCGTCTGGTCGAGAGCTCACATTCATGCTTCTTTTGGGTTTGCTCTTGTGCTACGGTGTTGGGATTGCGCTCGTTCTCCATCCCTCGACATTCATTTGCTACATTCAAAGAGGAGGGGTTGGTTTCTGCGTTTGTGTTTGTTATTCAGCACTTCTCATCAAGACAAACCGTATTGCAAGAATCTTTAAGAAAAGCGAACGCTCCACTAGACCACCAGGTTTTATAAATCCACTCTCCCAACTTGCTATACTCGCAGCTTTGGTCGGAATTGAAATGATTCTCGCAGGAATCGGAATTGTAACGTGGCCACCGAAAGCATCCCGAATGTATCCGACAAAAACCGATATGTTATTGACGTGTAATATTCAAAACTATGACCTCATGGTCGCTCTGTTGTATAATATGCTGCTTATTTTCCTGTGCACGTGGTATGCGTTCAAGACGCGCAAAACGCCGGCGAACTTTAACGAAGCGCGCTACATCGGTTTTGCCACTTACACGACATGCGTTATTTGGCTGACGTTCTTGCCTGTACAGTTTGGCGTGAATGACAAGGACTATAAAACTATCACTCTAAGTGTGAACATTACTCTTAACGCTACAACCCTCTTGTTGTGTGTCTTCGGGCCAAAGATCTACATATTGATATTTAGGCCAACGAGGAACGTACGAAGTCGTTCCCAGACAACATGGAGGACAGACCAAGATAGTAGTACGAATACAGGTAAGCTAACTTATCAGAATCATCGTCATCTTCATAGAGTGATTGGCGATGATAATGGTATTTGTGAATCCACTTGTGAAAATTTGTTATAGTAGTGGCTATTCTCTACCCATTCTCTAGGCTGTTCCATAGTTTTTCTATATATTATTTATTTGTTTCCATTATTCCCTTACTGAACAGCTTTCACTGATAGCAAAATTTGACTTTGAAATTTACTGTTTGAGTACAGCTTTTCCTTTTTTGTGAAAAAATGGAAAAATGGGAATTGTCCAGAAATGGAATTCAGGAACTTATGGTTTACTTGCGGTGGGAAGGGTGTTTTTTATGTGCCTCAAAATGGTTGGGCCATCAAAAATTGAGTGATCATTTTAGGGTTACAATAGTGGGTTTTTAGTATGATCTCTGGGCTTTCATTATCATATATTAATCTTCGTTTATCTATCAGAGTTTAATATTTATGATTTGTATTTATATTGCTTGATGATATTCCAAGAGGAATCTGAGAGTGTCAAGTGGGATTCCATAAAACAGATAGTGACTGGTGACTGGTTTTCCAGGAAATCCGGCAATAATATAGTACCAACTAGGGCAAAAACAATTGCATCCCATTCCTGGCACCTTTTAAATGGGCCTTCTGAGTTTGATAAACATGATGCATTCTGGTCTAGCTTGGGTATAAACAACACCATATAAGGCATGAGCAACAAAATGCATTTATACCCAAAAAAACTACAATGCATCATGTTTCCGGTCTTAGAAAATACAAAAATGCTTGCACTCAATTTGATACTAGTACAGTATTAAACTATTAAGCTATTAATAATTTATTATGAAGAGATAACTAGCTAAAAACTAGTGCGAGTTGCATCGGTGTTACTAATTTATTATAATGATTTTAATTATTATTATATTTTGATATTTTAAAGTATTTTATTTTATTATTTAACACAAAAGGTTTTGATTTCTCTATCCTTTAAGCTTTTTAACAGATTGCATGCGGTGTGATAATATCAGTTTTTAACATTATACATATATAGCTGTTATATTATAGGGTTATGATAATAATATCATTGGTAACAAAAAATTGTTCATTGTAACTTGACTAACTGGTTTGACCAGGATTGTAATTCATTGCATGCATGTTTTGATTGTTAACTTTCAATAAACTGATCAACCATTACTGCCTTGAGTTGTGTCGTTATTCATTGTTTTTAATTTTTATCATGATTGCTACTAACTCATCTAACATTGAATGTGATTTCAAATAACACATTATCACTGTTTTCATTGCTATGCGCTAAACAAGACAAAAATTGGCAGTTAGGTAAAGGTACATAGGTAACGGATGCATGTACTAATGATTTACTTCATTAATGGTTCTTTGTGTGAGTTTATCCATATTCATGTGACATGTCACTTCACATGAGCAAACAATAAAGATTAAAAAGATTCTCAATGGAAGAATGGCACATGGTCTTAAATGAGACACTGCACCCAAGCCCAAAAGGTCTATTTCAGCGTTGAGCTTACTGTTTATGTACACATTGAAGGTACAATGTTCTGGTGAAGCGCGTGCATGTTTCAAAAAGGTTCCAGTTGCACAAAGGGTGGATAGCCCTATCTGGGCCCAGGCGTATGAAGAATGGATAGCACTATCCAACAGATAAATCCTTATCCAGTGGATAAGTTGATGTTGTTATCGAATAAATTTATCCACTGGATAAGATTTATCTGTTGGATAGCGCTACCCAGGCTTTGTACAACCAGGCCCTGATGGATAAATTCTTATCCAGTTGATAACATGATGCTCGTATCCACTGGATAGCAATTATCCATTGGATGGGATGGTACTGCTCACCCTTGGTATAACAAAGTTCAGGAGTGCAGTTTTAACAGTGGTTTTATCATTCCAGGACGAACTAAATCTGATAGTGAACTCAGTCAAGTTGAGCTTGGATTTGACAACCCAGTAGGAGTCAAAGAAAAGGAAATTCCCCACAAGAACCTGCCAGATTCAGTGTTCTACTTAAGTCGATAGTCTAGTTACTCCATTGACAAAGTTCATGGGAAGCATGGGCAGCGTAGCGGTGAGAGTGCTCGCCTCTCACCAATGTGACCTGGGTTCATTGTGAGTTGAGTTGATTGTTGGTTCTCTCCTGTGCTTCGAGGGTTTTCCCGAGTTCTCCGGTTTTCCTCCCTCCGCAAAAACCAACTTCTAAATTCCAATTCGATCTTGAGCTTTCACCTAGTATGGATCTGAGGGTTCCATTCATGATTGTCCCACTCTGTGGTTACAGAGAAAACTGATAGATTTAAGTTTCGGATGAATTCGGAATTTGGTTTGCTAGGTTTCATGGAGGGAGAAAAGCAAGAAAACTTAGAACAAAATCTCAAACTAAGGGCTCACATGTGATGGAATCAAACCCGAGACCCCAGAGGCCATAGGTGAGTGGACTGCTGATACATCACCCTTGATTAGGGCAAGGTTGCAGCTCTAAGAAGATATAAACCAATTGGATGACTACAATAGAAACGAATAGAAGTAGAACAAGGTGACAATGAAAACTATTGTTTGCTTTGGCCAATCTCGGCAGTGCTCTTTAGAGGGTGTGACATTACTGATTATTTACTGGAATAATCGCAAACATGAAGAATTTGACTTGATACAGCAATGTATTGCGTATTTATTAGTGCTACTTTAATTTGCTTTGTCTAACATTATTATTTGATGCAAATAACTTGCAACTAAGGAGTTACAAAATTATTTAAAATTTTATGCTTTTGAGGTATCTCCATGACAACTGTTGCTATGCAACACACTATACCATTTAATTTAAAAAATGTTATTTATGCATAAAGCAGCTCTTATGAGTTTTATGTGCTGTGCTATGCTGTGATGGCAGTGGTAGTGGGATGATTGTGAATTCTGTGTTGCATAATATGACGTGTGCCATATTAGCATGCAACAATACCTCCACAGTCCTACCATTAACTTGTGGGGCTTTAATCTTTACTCGCACCACTGATTTTACTTGTGTGACATGTGCTACATTGCCTTGCTGCTTATATATATATATTTAATCTTGCCACACAAAATGTAATTAATATATAAAAAATATATATAGGCAAAAGTAAAAGTTTGTTAAAAGTTTTGTACATTCTCGACAACTGTCATCTTCAGAAAAGATGACACTTGTCAAAGATGAAGACAACACTTGTCAAAAACGTTCAAACCTTTTAACAAACTTTTACTTCTGCCCATTTATATTTTGAAAAATTCTTATCAGCAAAGTATTAAGACAAATATTTTTAATATTTACTGTGCGAACACATTAACCGGGATCACTTGAATAAAACTAACCAATCAGATAACAGTAAACCAGACAGAGATTGAAATGATAACATGTCTTAGCCAATCAGATTATGGTGTTCTCACGCTCTCATTATATCATATGCTATCTGATTGGCTGGTTAAAAATATTGAACTATATGTCGCAATATGATTGGTTAATGATACTAGTTTCTCAAAGTGGTCCTGATTGGAGTATCACACAGTAAGCAATATGCTTAAGTATCAATTTTTGACGCGATTGCAAAGATTATTCCACTGATTAAAAATGTAGATGATTTATTGTAGCTTTGACAATGGTTACTTAAATTAACCTTCAAATTAAAGATAAACTATGACAGGTAAAAACATGGGAATAAAAATAAGGTTCAGAGTCGATAGTTAGCTGAATAAGAGGTAACAAAGAGGGCGATGGAAAGATCATGGACAAAAGATTAAATTCTTTTTCCCATCGCAAAACTTTCTGATTATTATTTTGATATTTAATATCAATTTCTTCTTGCCAATTAAATTATTTTTATATAAGATGTAAATAAAACAAATGTGTCAACTGCATTGCTAATTTTTGATGTTAGTAACGCTAGATTTTAAAAGCGCAATAAAAATATTTATATAATTTGGTGTGTACTGCTCTATCATAGGTTAAAAATAAATTTAAATTTTATGGGTATCCTGAAACATCTACTGAACTGATCTAAGTCATGGCATACGTAGAAAACCCATGCATTATATTTGAATTTAGTTTTGAAGGCAGATGAAAACCCTGTGAGAAAAACCCTTAAATAAAGGGAGAGATCTAAAAAACTCTACTCACATTGAGGCTGATTGAATCCCTTAGAGAAAAAAGGAGGAATACACAAAAAAAATTCACTACTCAGCTTTACATTTTCAAAACCTTTTATTAATGTCCAACCGCTATCACTTCACTGCTCTCGGAATCACTTTCTGAATTACTTCCATACACTGTTATTTTACCTTCTTTAATAACTGGAAAGTCTGGCAAAGGCTCAAGGTCATTGTCAATTAATTCAACATAAGCCATTTGTGGATACGGAGATTTAGTTGGAGATAAGATTTTAATTATTCTGGTGAAGCCGCCATACCTATCCTCATATCTTTCCTTCAAGGGACCGTACAATTTAACAAGGGCATCTTTGTTCTGTTTTGAAAAGAAAATATTGAAACATGAACATCTTAGATAGGCTCAATGATGTCCCATTTCAAATGATTTGGGAATAACTCCATTCAATAGAGTGTTTGCCAAAATGGTGGAAGAAAACTCAAACGAGGTAAGATTAAAAACCTATACCACCACTAGAAAAAGCACCTTTACTTTAGCAACCCT